TTTTTTTTTTTTTTTTTTTTGCAACTTATTATTCTAAATCTCTATTTTTGATGTGAGAGTGGTTCGTCAATTGAATTTTTAGAAAATTAGCTACAAATACTTGTCTTCTTCAAATTCAAAATGAAATTTTAACGACGTTGGGTTATGAACGACCTGAGGAATGCTCAGAAGCCGGTGATGCCACTCATCTGACGCATATATTTTGTTTTTATATGGGTAAAGCTAATTTCTACTTGTGAATTTTGATCTTATTAATTATTTGTTTACTTTTGTTTTTTTGTCGACTATGCAGTAACTTTATGGTGCAAAATAAATTTGAAAACTTTGGAAACGATAAAAAGTTTTAATTTTTTTTTTTGTAAATGAGTGCAAAATTTTTAACTGATATAAATCTGTATGTTCCCCTATCTATTAATTATTCTAGGTTTGAGTATGTGATAAATGGATTTTGAAATGCATTTTACGATGCTCAGTTACAAAAAATCGTAATATTATCAATTAAAACATGATTTTAATTTATACATTTTCTTGAGAAATTGAACTTTCAGAGTTCATTTTTTAAGAAAACATTTCTTTCTGGGATTATTTTTAAAATATAATTCTGATGCTTACAAAAGTTGAATAGAGGCTAGAAAGCTATTCTGAATGTTTAGGTCAGCCAGAGCATAGCGCTGCAGCTGGTACATCAAAAGAAATTTTGGTTGCGAATTGTTGTATCCGAAAAGGTCGTATGTTACACAAATGGATTAAACGAAGATGCGTTTTGTACAATGGTACAATTCGTATTGAAAATGGTTTCTGGAATTTTTTTTCTTCTACAGTTCTTCTTCTGAACAAGTTTTTTTGCAGTAATCTTCAGAATTTCGTGCAGCTAAACAATTATAATAAAATTTAGATGAAAGATTTCTGGTAAATAAATTTTGTATAAAAAACATCTGTAGATGGAGAAGAAGACGAAGTGATAATTTTGAGTCGATATCGAATTGAGGTTGCTGAATGCAGCCGTGGAAAATATTTGAAGATATCCGATTGTTCACGACATTTTTGCTTTCTTTTTGATGCTATTGGTGAGATGAATTTATGGTTGACTCGAGTTTTACAGGTTTGTATTTCTTTCCGTCAATTCATTTTGTCGAAATTTTTGCACTTTTTGGAATTGCTAAGTAATTTATGACTTTAATTGTGAAAATACAAAAGATTTTCTTTCTCAGATCCAAACTTTGCTAGAGAAAACAGGATAACAAACAGCATTTTTGCAGTTGTGAGTCTAAAAAATGAAAGACGTGTAGGAAATTGATTGGGTTTTTGAACCTTAACTGTTTCTCCTCATTTCAGACTCAGATGGCACCGTCATGTGACCTCAGTGAACAAAAATTGTTATTTTTGCCAGATCGGCTGTTTTCAGTTGGTGTTGATAGGCAGATTCTTACCTTAAACTTACGTCGCAATTCTCTACAGCATAAGATTAACAGTCAGGTAATTATTTCTAATGAAACTAGATAAATGTTATTTTAAAAAAAAGCATGATTTTGCAATGTAAAAGTGAGTACATTATTAAGTGGCGTATTAGTGAGGTTTTTTGATACTTGACAATGGATTAGAACATGCTTAGACCTTCTGTTCGTAAATAATGAAAGATTACTTTTATTTGACTACTCGGTTGATGCAATTTTAAATTTAATGAGAAGTATCTTCAAACTGAGTTTTTTAGACATTAATTGTAGATAAGGGCTCCATCATTAGGCTGGCTAGATGACCTGAATCGACTGTCGTCGCTTCGTTCGTTGAACGTATCTGATAATTTAATTATGATTTTCCCGAAGTCGATGTTTCAGCTACCCGCGCTATCAGAGCTTTATTTGACTGGAAATTGTCTTAAAGAACTTCCGTCAGAAATTTCTTGTCTGCAAAAGTATGTTTTCCGTCAAGCGCATGATTTCAACATTAGTTTAGCACAAAGTTATACCTCAAGGTAAAGCAATTTTAAAGCAGTAGAGTTTATTGTACTGGACGGATAAACGCCATATTTACGCAACAATGAAGTGCTTTTATATCGGAAGCTTGATTTAAATTTTCAGTTTAACAACACTGAACCTCAGTAATAACTGGCTGAAAAGTCTTCCTGGCGAAATATCCGAATGCTCAAACTTAACCACACTTGATCTCAGTTTCAATTACTTTAAACAGGTGTTTTTTTTGCTAAACTCAAGTTATTTGAAGTATATCAAGGAAAAGAGCTTTACGAGTAAAAGCAGATCGCTCTAATAAGATTGGCTGGAAATTTTGTTGTTAAAAGCCGTTATTCTTCAGATGCTACAGATGAGGTTTTTTGCTGTAAGAAGAATTTATCAAAATAGGTTTTATTTTCAGATACCTATTGGATTGTTTTGTTTAAGCAAACTTACGTTTCTACAATTTGCTGGAAACGAGTTGTCCTCGGCCGCAGTTCATGGGTTAGCATCGCTTCACTTCACAAAGCTCGATTTTCGACGAAATATGTTTGCACGGTAATAATAAAGTATAAGTATAATTAATTTTAGTAAACTTTTGAGGCATATACTGGTCACAAATTATATGTTATTGCGATATTTATTATTCTCTGTACAACTGGTTTAGTTTTATTAATTGAACATTTTGCTCCTGAAAATGACTTTTTTTTAGTTCTTTGCGAATTACGGCTTTTATGTTCGAGTCGCTCACGGATTTGGATTTGCGAGATGGTGCTGCCTTAGCTGAGCTGGACTTAAGCAATCTTCCATCTGTACAAGTTAGCTTCTTACTAGATATTAATTTGTCTTCTTTTATCGTGAATAATGTGTGCACAGGAAAGAAAATGAATACATTTAGGTGTTACACTGCGAAAGACTAAAATTGAAAACGTTAAGAGTGAACGGTTCGTCACTTAAGTGTCTTTATGCAGACCGCAACGGTGAGTTATAAGTACAGCTTAGAATAGCACTAAATGGAAACCGCATTATAAAGCTGCTATGATGAGGTACTTGTTTTAGAGCTAGCGCAGGTGATCATTATGCCGGTGCCGATACATTTGGTCACATTTTCGCTTTCATTTAACAAATTAACTTTATTGCCTGACTGGATCACTGATTTGCCAATGATTGAAAGTGTTTTTGTAGACCATAATTCTGTATATCAGTTACCGTATAGGTAGGTATTCAATATGATTACGTTTTGAGCTTTCAGACTTATAGTTGATGAATTTAATGATTAATATCGGCTACTATAATTTACAGTAAAAAAATTGTACCAAAACTTTTCACTTTTTAAAATTACTTTCCTAAAAGTTGCAAACAAAGCATCATTTTTTTTTGATTAAAAGAATTTTTCAAAAAACTGTTTATGCATTACAGCAACAAATTACCAGAGGAAATTCACTTGAAAAGTTATCTTACCTGACTTTATCAATTTTCAAACTTTGTAGTTCTGAAAGATCTTTTATTTCATTAGTACTATTGTTTAGAATCTTTATGAATGTCAGTAGTTTAAAACAGCTGCACGTCAACCATAATTATATTGAAGTATTACCGGATGGAATTGAAAACTGTTCAGTAGAAATCTTGGCGTTACAAAACAATAATTTAACTGAGCTACCTGTTAACCTGTTAAAAGCCGCTCATAAGTAAGTGCAGAAAACGACTTTTTGTATAGTTTTTGACAAGTCGCGGTATCAGTCAAGCGCTGTCTCAAATTATGTTATTCTAGAAGTTTATTTATTGTTTTTGAATAAAATAGTAACTAGCCAAAAGTTAGTTAAATGAACTTTTGGTTTGCAGACTGCGTAACTTAAACGTCTCTTTCAACCAGCTGCAGCAGCTACCACCGCCAAATCCAATGATCGACCTTAACAAACTTCAATTTCTTCGGGCTGCTGGAAATAAATTGGACGAAGGTGTAATGGGCACTATAGTAACTTGTCGTCGATTACGACTCATTGACTTGTCGTACAACAAGTTAAGGTTTTTTGATGACAGGTATCAGCAAAATAACAATTTTTTCTTAATTAAACTATATATTTTTGCAAATCTCAATGAAGAAACTTGCTTATTTTGAAAAATTTGTTGAAAATTTCTGATGTTCGACAGTTTTTGAAAAGCCGAGACTGCTACAGACAGTTAAATTTAAATTTCGATGTGAGCTGAAAAGTTGCGGTTTTAGCTGCCTGCTAAGGCTTACAATGCTTGAAGAAGTTAACCTGTCAGCAAATCAGTTAACTTCGGTATCTTATGCCTTTGGTGTTCTGCCAAACCTGCAAGTTCTTCGCTTACACTCAAATTTCATTGCTGCAATTCCAGACCTTTCACAATCGCCCTCATTAACGGTAATGTAATCTTTATGTGTCTGTTCGTATATTAGATTTTCAATACCTAAAATTTTGGCTTGAAAATCTTATAGTATTAAAACACACACAAAAAAAATAATCTATTCAAGTTTTTCATCAAATATTTGTAACTTCTGCTTCAAAAATTTTTCGCTTTCTTTGTTGATTTGAGCCACTTACAAAAAAGGAATGGCCAATTTACAAAAAACTTGTATCTTTACTGAATTCAGTTACTCGACATATCCAATAACAAGTTAGATAGATTAGACACGCATTTATGTATGGCAAAAACTTTAAAACATCTGGACCTGACATGTAATCCAACGCTTCACGTTAATGCGCGATGTATTTGCTCAAACAGGTTGATTTCTTTTGAATAGTCGTTTTTACCTACGTCAATGCAAGCTCAAACGCTTTTTTACTCCGCTGAATTTCGTTAGCTTTCACTTTTTAAAAGCCAATACTTATGCCATTTTCTTGAGTTACCCCCAGCGCTTTTTTTCCAGTGATGAAAAAATTTGTAGAAGCGATCGAAGTATATCAGTGGTTGACGTCGGGTCACAAACGAGTTCGCTGTTCTATCAAATGGGCTTTAGTGAAAGCGCTGGTCAGAGAAACAAGTAAATAGATTGAGAAACTTTTATGTCATGATTTCTGCATTTCAGCTTTACTTAGCTTAGGTATTTTAAGATTGTGTATCCAGCAAATTAGACGTTCAGTAGGAGTTCACTCTGTATACGGGATCGTCGATGGTGGATCAAACGAGCAAATACCGTCTTTAATAGCCGACAAACTTAATGGTTTTATAACAAAAATGGTTAATAAGTTTTTAATAAGTTTACATAAAGATTAAAAAAAAGTTCAAGCAGATAAATTGACAATCCAAAGCCAACTGAATTCTCGTTGTTTCGTAATAAAATTTGATTTGTTTATCAATTTCACTGTCACGTTTAGACAAAAAGCAGCTTTCAGAACCCAGAAAATGCAGTGGACCTAAAAATGGCTCTAATAAGAGCGCACGAGCATTTGGGTCAGGTTGGTGAAAGACTTGGAGCGTCAGCCTTGTTGGTGTTGATAACGACAACTCACGTCTACTGTGCAAACTCAGGTCACTGCCGTGCATTGATTTGCCGCCGAGGGATTGCTAACGAAATTAGCGGTAATTTCGAAACTTTAACTCAAGAGGATTATGAAAATTTACGGAAAGGCAACGCAACAATTACCAAGGTTGTTTAATTCATTCTTAAATCAAACTACAGTCTTCTGGAACATAATTACTAGAAAATTCTTTTCTGAGTTTGAGAATGTTAAGAGTCTGAAGAAGAGTTTAGAAGTTTTTGAACTAGTAAGATACTTTATATCTCAAAATATCCAATTGGCAAAAGGAAGAGACATAAATCTTTTTAAAAATTTGTTCAGTTTATTAAAGCTTTGGACTGACAGCTTTCATTTGTCTTAGTGCATTACAAAATTTATTTACTTTTTGCGTTACTGCTCAGTGTAGAGGACTTTCAGGAGAATATCATTGAAGGAGTGTGCCCATGTGTACGACAGCTCGGTTTCACTTTCCTATACCCTGCCATAGTACCGAATCCGGTCAAAGTAAGCGTTTTAATAAGTATTAGTGCGATAGAGGTACGGCAGTTTTAATTTTACGCTAAAAATAAGCGTTTTTTTGGTGTGTTTGACTAAGATTTCTCTTTTACAATTACAGTTCGGTTAATTTAGAAGACTGTAGTTTTGAGTGAGGGGGATGAATTTATTGTACTGGCTTCCCGAGCTGTATGGAATCTTTTATCGCATCAACAGATTGTTGATCTTATAAGACCGATTAAGAACCCTCAGATTGCAGCGAAGAAATTGCAGGTTTAAGATTAATAATCTTCAAAATGATTAACTCAATGATGAAGCATCCCGTAGCCTACCATCACTTTTAGGATACAGTTCAGTCGTTAGAGCACTGCGGTAATGTAAGTGTTATCGTTATACGGCTAAACTGGTTAGACGGAAACGCCCGTGAATGTGATACCAGAAGCATGCCCAATTTCAATACTTTAGAAAAAGTAGCATTTTCAGGTACTAATGACTGCATCTGTCATTTTTTTTAAGTTTTAAGAAGAGGGCAATGTATTTTGAACAAATTTTTTTTTTCTTTTAAGAAGAAGACTTGGCCCGTCGCGGTGAGACAACTTTACGAAATATTGAGGAGCGTTTGGAAAGGATTAGCGAGGCCATCAGTAAAATTGAAGACGATTCAAATAACAATCAGACATCTCTGGGCGTATTAGACTGCCTTGATTTGATTGCCAGAAATAGCCTGCGAAAGCGATCAACACTAAGGGCCCGTTTACACAGAAGCTTGGGTCCTTCTAGGTCTCATTTTAATCATCAACCTGATATTACCAGCCAGTTTACAGCTAGTACAGATTTCTTTTAAATTTGACAATGGGTTTATAACTATAATTTGTACTTTCTGAAATATCAATCCTTTTCAGGTGCACAACACCACAGAATAGTCTTCCAAATGCGCACAGCTACGGCGAATTAGATTATGCGTCACGAACGCCGTCAATAACTAGCGCTCCACCTGATCCACTGATTAAACCTAGTAATAACGACTCAATTGAGAAACCAAGGATTCTTAATCTTGGCACGGACGATGACGAATATACAGTATCGCAGAAGAACAATGGTGACGAGTACAAGTCTGATAGTATTAATGCTCCGTTACGTCATCGAGCTCGATACTCGATCAGAAGTCGAGTGGAAATGTTTGACAAGCTGAACCTAAATACTGTGACAAGCCGGGAGCGATTTCAGCGCGCTCGTTTATCAGTTGGACGTCACTTACGTATGAAAACACCAGATGAGGCAGAAACTAAAACCCGAAGTATTCTGTAAAATCACCGATTATTTTTTGGAGAAATTTGCCCAAAGGTTTTACAAATCTCCAAAAAAAACTTCTTTAGCACAATATTTCCAACCAAAAATAAGAGAATAAATGTTTAATTAATGTTCCTGTAAAAATTTACTGTATTTGAAATAAATTTTAAGTGATTAACTTATACTTGTCAATGTATCCAACATCTTTAAACTGAAAAATTATCGCATTGCAAAGCTTATTGGCACAGCGCTGTTTAAGTAGCATTTCGCATTTCCTGGGCGCAGAGCCAGAAATTTTTTTAACTCTTTTTGTTCTGCCTTCTTCAAGCTTGAATATGAGAAAAGTAATGTGTACTTCCGTCATTGATTTATCTAATTCCTTTTTTAAAAAATTGTTTCAAAGCAAAGCTTTTTTTATTGCGAGGTATTTAAACTCTTTTGAAATGAGTTTTCACCTTGACAAAACTAATTCAGATTTGTTTACTTTTAGCAGTTACACCATTAAGCTTACAAAACGTAGCTCTAAAGCGGTTATGCAGAGTTGCTGTGTACTTAAAACATCAAAAATGAGGTGCAAGTATACTTGTGTAAAAAGATTAGCATAAACTTAGGCTGATTTTGTAGTTGTAACTTACATAGCCAGGTGTGGACGTGCTTTGGAAGGTCTGTAACGATAAATAGTGAGTGTGCATTTCAGTGCTGTTTTGAAGGCATCGCTATAATGGACTTTGATATGAACGTGATCAGACTGATAGCTTGTTGTTTACGGCCGCCACTAGTCACGTATTTATAAATTGTGTAACATAAAGCAAAAAATTCTGGAAATTGAAAAAAACTTCAGATGTGTTTCGTTTTAGGAGTACAGCGAACATGGTGTTCACAGTCTTCTTTCTCCGCCCAAATAAAATTTGCTGTTTTGTACTTGGTGAAGGAGGAAGGAAGACAGTGAGAATAGAAATGGTGCAGCTCATAAAAAAATTGTGAATTTTACTGACAAAATAGATGTATAGGTAAGAATGCTTAAATGATAAAAACAGCTGACAGTTCAAAAAACTACAATACAAAAGATGAGAAAAAAATCGAAAAGCACTGGTGTTAAGCTTTTTCTCTGAAAAATTTCTGAAAAAAATCATAAAGTTCATTTTTTACCTAAATTCTCAGCATTTTGAAATAATCTAATCTGTCTTTGATGCACCTTACAAGCCCGCTAAAAAAACTTTTTCTTATCTTATCAGTTACAATGTTAAAAATGTAATAAACGTTCACAGCTCTTGATTTGCGAAACATTTTAAAATTTTTGCTTTGTTTAAAAGAAAGTAAATGAATCAAGGTGGTTATGAAGTTTACCTTCTTCCCATTTTCTGCTCCTGCTTCAATAATGTTTTTATAAATGATTGTCGTTGCCACTAAATGTCAAAAATTAACTTTAATAATTTATAGCGTCTAACAAAGACAATTGAACTAACTGCTATTGTTCGATAAAAAGCCATTAAAGCATGGTTAAAATAAAAAAGAAGAAGATTATTATGCAGTTCTTGGTTTGGATAAATATGCAACAGAGGAAGAGATTGAAAGTAGTTATAGAAAAATGGCGATGCGCTTTCATCCAGACAGAAATCCCGGAGACGAAACTGGTAAACTTTTTTCCCAAAATGTTTGTAGGCAACCTTAAGATTAATTTTTATTAAAAACTTTAAAAATTTTTTAAAGGTTGTAATCTACTTTTGTACTTTTAACACTTTATTTCTTTTCTGTTTTTCTGCTTCTTTACGCAGTTTATTTATTTTAGCCGCTGACAAATTCTCAAAAGTAGCTACTGCTTATGAAATCCTTTCTGATCTAAACAAAAGACGAGAATATGACTCTGGTGACTCATCCAACATTCCAGATGTTGATGTAAACAGCGTAAAAACTTTTGGTGAGCATACATACTTGAAAAGCCATCGATACCTCAGAACTGTATAGTAATTTTTTTTGACTAAATAAATTTTTGTACAATTATTGTTATAAATTGATTTATAATAATATTGAATGGTGAGGTAAACTGCTACTGAGATGGAAAGTTTGTCAATTTTTTTCAATTATAAATTCAGGAAGACTTGGACTCTGCTGTGCGTCTCATATTATTCTAATAAAAACAGTAATAAATCCTGCAAAACTTGCTACTGCCAAAGCATTGATGCGTGGAGAGAAAATTAATGATTCGGTTTCAATTGCAGAGCCGGGCAAGATTTATAACAGAAATATTACTTTTCAGGTAGGATGTACAGTATGTTTTATCTTACTCATTGTTAACAAACTGATAATTTCTATTGAAAAATGAATGAGAACCTTAAAAGTCACTAGAAAAGGCTTTTTAACTGTGTTACAAAAATCGTTATTTAATTCGTACAGAAGCCTGATTCTGTAGATCATTGAGTTCGGCATCGTTTCTTAGAAAGCATTACTTAGTTAAGTCTTCAAAAC